GTTTGACGTCGGTGTCACTGGCCGGGTCCATTTCCGGTATGTCGTGGATCTTCGTTCATCACCGCCCCGAAATGCGGTGCGCCCGAGCATCGCCTACTTCTTTGCAAACGCCAACCACCCGTTCCAATACCTGCAGCCGCACGAAGACCTGTTAATCGCTACAGGCGAATCAACCAAGTTCGGATCCTGGCGGACTTTGAGAATCGGCGCATATCCAACCGTCCTTCGCGTGACGCCTGGAGCTTCGAGTGCGAGTTGATTGCGAGAGGACTGTGGGTGCGAGAAATTGCTCGCCTTCTGAAATGCCCTTCAAGGGGGTTGTCGAAAATAAGGGACACGGCCGTTGTCACCGTCGGCAACCCCCATAAACCCCTTCAAGGGCATTTCAGAAGGTGAACAATTTTTCGCACCCCCGATCTTTGTTGCCCCCCAAGGGTTTCGACCGTCGCGGTGCGCGGAGTATTGTCGCAGACATGCTTGTGTTTCTGCGTGCTATGTGGTTCGCGCTGTCGCACGTCAGCGTTCCAGGCGCGCGAGTCGGGGGTCGCCTTGTCGATTGACCGAATCAATGTTTGGAAGGGTTGCAGGGGGGATCTTTCATCCATTTCTACATTTTTCTTCTCTGCGAAGTGGAGATGTCCGAGTTCGATAAGCTCTTGCACTAGTACCTTTGAATGGAACATCGCACGAGCTCGCGTAGACCATGGTGAGAATCGGTGTTTATAGGGGTCAGCTTGGGGTCGCGCTGCACCGAATTGTGTGGTGGTGCATCCACCACTACCCTTTGTTATGCACATGCTTTTGTTCAACGACGACAGAGCCTTCCTTCTATGCGCCCAAACAGAGCGTTCCTTGAGTGCACCCACTGGCGATCCCTTCCACTGACACCGGCCGCGCGAAAACAGGATCCTTGCTACTCCAGCACCCGCCAAATTCGGATCCCGACGAACTTTGAGGCTCCGCGTAAATCAGACCGTTATTTTCAACAACTTGGACTTTGCTTCTGCCACGGCGTGCTTTGCGGTTCGCGCAGTCGGGTGTCGACATTGCAAAGGCGTTTCGGTGTTGAAGCCGCGCGGGCTGCAAAGGCTTTGACTCCGAGCACACAACTTTCGAATCGACGTGCAGTTACTCGGGGTTTGCGGGGGTCGGCTGAGGGTCATTAAGCCATGTCTTCTTTTGTCTCCTGCCTCTGCTAGACTTCCGTTCGTTATGACGATTGGCCGACAGTCAGTTCGCGGCGACCGGTTGATGACCAGTTAGCCCTTACTTCTATAGTAATCATGCTTAGAGTTTGCTCCGCTGTTTTGCAGGGTGTGGACACGAATTGGAATGAACCGTTCAATCCGCACAAGAGAGATTAATCGATTACGCTGACGGGAATTGCATCTGCTGCACCGACGGTGACATGACGGCGCCAAAGACGGCTGGGCGAACGTCCACATGAACCGGGCTATGGAAACTGAACAAGCCGTCGACTTGCGTTACCAGCTACAACACCTGGGATTGGCCCCGACGACCTCTTCGGACAGTTCGCTGTTCCAACAGTCCTCTTCGGACAGTTCGTCGTTCCAACAGTCCGCTGCAACTTTCCCCAGAAAATGGAGTCTCGCTTTTCGTGAGAGCTTTGGAGGTTGCATCCAACCGCCTACAGAATTGGCAACAACGACCGCGGGCGAAGAACCGTCTGCCTCCCGGATCGAGTTCCACATTCCTGGAGAGGTGCACCCCACAGCTTCGGCGCACAGAAGTTGCGTGTCGATGGGTGTTTCTTACGCATCATCTGATGACGAGAGTGAGCGGTTGGTGGCCACTGATTACTCGTGTGGACCACAGTCCTCTTCCAGTGGACCTTTGCTTTGTGCTAGCTCCAGTAGTACGAAGTTGGTTGCCACCGACTACTCTTCGGAGGAACTTCCCACAGCACGGGCGAGTCCGACGCAAGTGCGAAGTCCTGATGCGATTCCAATTGAGAGTCAGTCTGGGTCAGAAGCGTCTGGTAGAGGTGATGCAGAGAGAAGGGCGATACTGCAGATTTTGCCCGCACCTCTGCCAAGCGAAAGACGAAGGTATAGCATGGCTAATAGGAACGCT